GATGGATCACATCATACGGATGACCGCGCTTGGGCGCTTTTCCTTGCCGCAGAAAAATGCCACGTATTCGATTATTCCGATGTCGTGAACGCGCCCGCCCGGCGTAATCCTATCAAACGTCCCGCCGGGGTTCCTCCAAAGTTCCTCAAGCCTGGAACACAATTAGAACTCGGCACGCGATTAATGATACGCCTAGCATTCTTCGAGACGTGTTTTCAGGCCTTTTCAGACACGCGAATGGCACATTTACGACATACTGGCGCGCGAGCGGTCGGTTTCGCATTCCCTACGAATCACGAACGCGCGTACTACGAACGGTCGTAAAGAACCTAATTGATTTGTAGCTAGAACGTCGTTCGGTGCGCGGGATACTTTCGATAGACTCCGCGAGAGAGAGAGAGAGAGAGGGGGGGAATTACACACACAGCGGCAGAAGCGTGCGAGAGTGAATTTATGAATTCATTGAACGAACCGAGCATAAATTATACGTAAAGCGTACAAGGATAGCGCGAAAGCTACGTTCCTGCACTTGCAGATGCGACCATCTCCGGCTTTCCGGCGATAGTAGCTGGTCGCAAAAATGATTGATTAAAGCTTATACTCATTACTTTCTCGCGTACCCATTGAAACGAGAGAGGTACAGGTAGATGGTAAAGGAGAGAGGGGAGCAAGGCGACAGGGAGGTATTAGAGATTCTTACACACAGTCCTTCGGAGGTTTCAGCACGGTTTACGCAATCCCGAGTGTGTGTATAATGGACATGCGTGTAATATACCGTGGGCTCGCCTTATTACAGCCCACATACTGTCGTGTGTATACCGGGTGATATAAACAAACAAACAAATCGTGTCGTTCGCTTCGTAAAGCAGAAAAAGAGACATATTATCGTAGCGAGTGATCTCGCGGCGGATGATGTAAGAAAGAGAGAAGGAGGGAGAAAGAAATAGAGAGAGAGAGAGAGAGAGAGAGAGAGAGAGAGAGAGAGAGAGAGAGAGAGAGAAAGGAAAACTGAAGGGGTGGGAACTTATTCCTGGAGATGAACTCGCGTTCTGTTTGTTCTTTCCGAGCGCGAGTGTTTCGTCGCTGAGCTTTGCATGCTTAATAACGTATTAATTATTGTCATCGTCGCGCTCTGTGTCGCGAATTATTCGCGTTCATAAATTTTTTCCTGTTGTCACCGCGCGAGTTTCTTCCCCTCGTTACACTCTCCGCGATTAATTACGCGAAATGAGAAAGGGGGATTTTTCGTATGTAAATTTTTGCCTTATTGCGGAGAGAGACGATAGGCAGACGGACGCAGCGGAGGATATATAGGCACGGGAGAAAGAGAGAGAAAAAGAGGGGGAGGAGAGCGGGAGAGGCAGATGCACAAATGAACCTCTCGCGCTTCAAGAATAATGTCGCTGCTCGAGCGCGAGAAAAATTGCAGCCGGGCAGCACGACGCTTTGAATTATGCGCGCTGCTCCGCCGCGTCCGTGTACACACTGACCGTCACGAATTCCTTCATCTTGCCTAGATAAGTGTCCAACGCCTGCTTCGATTAAAGCGTCGATTAAACATTTTAACGAATTTAAACTCTATTCAGACGAACATTTAAATTCGGGTTAACTCCTTCAGTGCCACACCATTTTCCTCGACTGCTCCTAAAATGACAAAAGATTCTCGAAAATTAATAAATTTATACAAGTGGGAAGAGTTTGATGATGCTGATGACGAATTTCAAGTCAAGTTAAACATTTCTTGTCATAAATCCAAAATGGAACAGTTGACATAACAGTTTGGATTTCCGCGGATGTCTCTATCGTTAACAGCTAGTTAGGGAGTTAAAATACGATCGACGTTGGTGAGACGGGTAGATGAGTGTAAAACGAACTCTATTTGAAAAAAGAGTCTTGTTTCAAATCTGACGATTAAGCAAAAAAACCGACAATGCGTTTCAGAGTAACGTCTGAAAGCCGATTAATGACCGGTGATCTTCGCGAACACAAGTGTGCTCTCTCGATTCAATTTCCGATAATTACAATCGCTTCTCGACAACCGGCACAGTAACTACGCCATTATTTTAACGTTGTTCCACGCGTGCGCGTGGACAACCGAATTGCTCGACGGTTTGTTCGCCGCGCGATTTATCACCGAAAAATTAGTCGTTACTTTTTACAGCTCGTTTGTCGCTGTCCCGAACGTTGCTCAACCTTTTCGCCTTCGCCCGAAGTCGACCCGTGTCCAACGTCAAACACGGCGGCCACGCTCGTTCCCGTAAAGTGTGATCGCGTCGCGGTGACATTCTCCGGCTGAGTAAGGGCGCATTCACACCTGTGCAGGAAAGCAGAAAGCATAACAGCGGAAACCAAGAGAGTGACAGAGAGAAAAACTCTTGCAAGAGAGAGAGAGAGAGAAGAAAAAGAAGAGAGAGAGAGACAGAGACAGATTACCAACGCCATTTGTGATTGGTTGCTGCCTTTCTGCTTTCTGCTTTTCTGCTGAGGTGTGAATGCGCCCTAAGGGCGGATTCACACCCAGGCAGAAAAGCAGAAAGCAGAAAGGCAACAGCCAAGAGAGTGACAGAGAGAAAAACTCGCAAGAGAGAGAGAGACTATCAGTGCCACTTGTGATTGGTAACTGCCTTTCTGCTTTTTGCTTTTTTTGCCTAAGTGTGAATCCTCTCTAAGGGCGTATTCACACCTTGGCAGAAAAGCAAAAAGCAGAACAGCAGAAGCCAAGAGACAGAGAGAAAAACTGTCGCAAGAGAGAGACAGACTACCAGCGCGAGTTCTGATTGGCAACTGCCTTTCTGCTTTCTGCTTTTCTGCCCAGGTGTGAATGCGCCCTCATACTCGTCGCGCGGCGAATCGCGCGGCGCGCTTTGATCGAACTCGCGTGGCCGCAACCCTCCTTCGCCCTCTTGCGCACGATGTCTTCCTCTCAGTCTTTCCTCAGTCAAGACAGTGGACAGTTCCCGTGAGAACTACCCCCGTAACGTTTCAAACTAGCGGCAATTGCCGCGCAATCACCGATGAGACTCACTTTCGTTTTACGAGGAGCGAAGTACCCGCCGGAATAGCAATAAGGCGTTATTCCGCGGTGCGGACTGCCACTTTTACGGTGGACTGAAGGAAAATAGTTGACCGCGATGACGCGAGGGGGTGAGGAGGGTTGGCGGTGACCGTGGGGAGGAGGTGCGACCGGTTGCTTATCTATTTGCGCTGAAATGATACGTTTCCGGTAAAGCGAGAGCCCGACGCAGCTCGGCCGACCGGCGAGCGTAATGCGCGTGCAATTTCGCGAAACGGCCGTTCGCCGCTAGTGGAAGAAGTAGAGGAGAAGACGCAAAAGAAAACGAAGAAGAAGGAGAAGAAAGAACAAAATATCAAGCGCGATAAAAGCGTTCTGCGATCGCCGATTTCTCGACGATATCGCGTTTCGTTATTCCGTCATTTCGTTTCTCTCGCGTGGGACTCTCTCTCTCTCTCTCTCTCTCTCTCTCTTTCTCTCTATCTTTCTTTGTGTGATTACGATTATTGACTGCGACTGTGTGTTTGACGTTGCTATAGCATTTTAACTCAAAATTTCTCAACGCCAAAGCGGTCCAAATAGCAGTCTGTAATATTTTAGAAAAATTACTCGAATTTGCACAACGATATATTTTATTTTAAACGAACGTTGAGTGGACAGTCACCATTGCACTGAGAGTTTTCTTTCCTAAAAAGGATAGCAAAGGCATGGTGATGTCCATATGAGGTTATTATCATTTAACACTACAGTGTAGCATTTATCACAAAAATGGTTCTCCCGACTACAATTTCTTCACCGTACTATTATAGTCACAAGTACCGGACACCTTTCTGCCAGCGTGTATTGTGTGCATTCACACTCGCACGGATCGCCCGCGATGCGTCGCTGGGTGTCTTATTATTATTCTTGTTTTCGGATCGCGCATGAGAACGCGCGATTAACCAACGCACATTTAATCTCCGACAACCGATTATATCGGCCTGTCGATGTAATTTCGCGCAAAGTAGAACGCCCCTCAACAGCAGTAGCATGCGTGTGCGTATGTACAGTCTGTAAACGGGTTAATGTGTAGAAAAATTTATATTTAATGATTTTTAAGTACATGGATTTGTTGTACTCCATGAGAAGAAAAATGCTATACCATTAATAATGAGTCCAGTCACACCACCGGCATTGATAATTGCCTGGCATCTCCGAGGCATACTTTCCACTAAGTTGACTGCGTATTCGTTCGGTAAAGACCTCCAAATGAGACGAATTTGTCGTGTCAGCTGCTTCAAAGTGCACACTCTTTTTCCTCGAAGCTTGTGCTTGAGATATGCCCACACATTTTCAATGGGATTTGCATCTGGCGACTGCGATGGCCAATCAAGTGTGACGATGCCAGACTGCTCTTTCCACTCGGTGCAAAGCTTGCTCCGGTGTTTTGGGTCGTTGTCTTCCTATAAGATCCAGTCCTCGTTTTTTTTTATGAAGCATCGTTCAGCAGTCAGCAACAAACACTTCTCATAAATTTTAAGCATTAAGGTCGGGTTCCACTTAAACAAATTCACAATTTTTTTTTCCATATTCGGCGTCACTTTGCCTATCGAGCCACGTTTTGGCAAGTCATCGACATTTTTGATCTTCTTATATTGCTGAACCCACTTAGCGACGAACGACTTTGACTTTCCCATGTATTTAGCAGCCACTGCATATGACATTTTTGGTCCTTTGGGGTGGGAACAAAGGAACACAGCCTCGTAGCGCGATGCGTATGCGGCACTCATGGCGGTTAACGTGTTTCTCAGGTTAGAGTTCGACGCCAACTGAATCTTTTGTGACAAAGCATTCACGACAAAGATTTCATCTATCGGCTCACAAAAAAACTAGGACGATATTTGAAGCCAACTGCCATTTATGCAGTGCACGCTCTTACTTTACAGAGTGTATATTGCTCTGCGCGTCAGCTCTGTTATAATCGAGTGTCTTCCCCCTGTCGTTGCAGCCCGAGACGGTGCCTCAGGCGAGGATCGACATGACCCGCGTCCTGGAAGTGGCCGCCGCCGAGGACGTCACTGGACATCCTTATAGCCTTGCCGTAACCTCGCCGGAGGGTGTGACCTTCGTTAAAGGGACGTGTCGAGAAGAGACCAGATGGTGGACAGACGTTCTTCAGGTGTACTCGCGGAACAAGGTGAGTCGCCCTTTATTCTCATCACGCGTGTATCCCATTCCCGGGCTTTTTCAGCAATTTATCGTTAGAGAATCGAAAAAGTAGGAAATATGATAAACAATCCTGTGCCCTGAGATAGAAAGGAACATTTTCTTTCGTTGTATTCCTTACGATAAATATATCAACAAGATGTATAGCCGATGTCACACGTGAAAGTCAAACTAATGGGAAAAACTTCAACGTTGTGAAGTTTCCCGCATTTCATAATCTCGAAGGGTTACGTAAAAGAGGCGTAGAAGAGAGACGTAGAAGAGAGTATGTAGACTGCGAGTATTCATAAATTGATAAAATCGGTAACGTTGGATTTCCCGCAAGTTGTGAGATAAGTGTCGAGATAAAAGCTGAAAGCAGATATTACGTCGTTCGTTTTAAGTGTTTTGCGAATAAGTAAAATACCCACGAGGGGCACAGAGAAAGGGGGAGATACCGTTACAACGTTAGAGGCGCAATCTAATTTCTCGCGTCAAATTATGAGGGTAGTATCGACTCTGGAGAAAATGACTCGGCAGCCTGACGACCGATGGAAAGGAAACTGGCGCGTCGATACGTATAATGCACACTTGCGATATAGAATGGCATCTCTTACGTGTATCATTAGAGAATTTAATTTTCTGTCGATTACTGTGAGGATACGTCTCGGGGGGCGTATCAGTACCGTATTACGTCTTGCGCGAGAACGGAGTCACGCAAATGGCAGAAATGCAGCCATCGTCTGTGATTGCTGCGGGTGCTCTCTCTTTTTCTCTCCCTCTCTCCCTTCTCCTCGCTTTCTTCCTCTCTCTCTCTCTCTCTCGCATAATCATTACGTCTGTGCATCGTCTTCTCTCCTGCATACGTCGCGTTCGTTACGAATGCAATAATGGTTCCGCTCCCGCGACGTCCTTTCGTGATATTCCGAGGCGATGACTTACACCTGCGGCTAATCACAGGTATTAATTATTACCGGTGGTATTTAGAATGAATCGATGGTATCCGGGTTGATCTCATCGACATCGGTTGACTTGCTATCCGACTGATCCTTCGTCTCCTCCTGGAAGGAGCGATACCGCGAAGAGTTGGAAAATAAATTCCTAATTAGATAGTAGGGAATGTAGAAAATATTAGATATACCAATTAATTCTGTGATTTTACATTTCGCACCTTATAACTTAAATTAAATAATTTTAAAACTAAATAGTTTCCCGCCCTTTTGTGATTTGTAAGTATTGGCTTGTTCTTTTTAGCTGCACCAGTGTAGCAGTGCAGCTAAAACAAACAGACTATATGTACCATTAAGTTCTCAAAGCACTTATATGCTTTGGCGAAGAGACAATATAACTTCACCATAAACAACATTTGAGGCACTGCATTCTTTCCGCATTTTAATCAAAGAAAAATGCTGCTAAAGCTATGGAGATGATTTGTACTGCTCTCTGGGTAAAGAGATTGTAACTCATAAAACATATAAAAAGTGGTACTAGAGGTTTTGGAATGGAGATTTTAATCTTTTGGATCGACAATGTTCGGATCAATCACAAAAATTCGACGACGACGAACTCCAGCAACTGTTGACTGAAAAAAACCCGCTCAAACTCAACAGAAGTTAGCATTACAACTGGAAGTTATTCAACAATGCATATCTCATCGTCTATATAAATTCGGTAAAATTTAAAAGAAGGATAGATGGGTTTCGCACAACCTGAGCTCGGAAAACAAGGAACGAAGATTCGACACGACAATGTCTTTGCTGATCCGATTTAAAAGAAAATATTTTTTATACAAAATCATTACGGGTGGTTGAAAATGGGTAATATACGACAATCCTAAACGCAGAAAATCATGGGTAGATTCCGGCCAATCGTCGACATTGCCTCCGAAGCCCAATATCCATGCAAAAAAAGTTTTACTGAATATCTGATGGGATATGAAGGGTGTGATGCATTACGAGTTGCTGGATCTTGGCCAAACTGTTACTGCGAAGCACCATCAACAACAATTTATCCATTTGAGCGATGCGTTAGAGCGAAAGAGACTTTACACTAGCAATGGAAATAGACAAGTGATTTTGCAGCACGACAACGTTCGACCACATTCTGCAAAAAGAACCAAGGACATCATCTATACATTAGACTAGGAAGTTTTCCCTTGCGTGATTTATTCACCAGATCTCGCCCTATCGGACTATCACTTATTTCAGTCGCTTCAACATCAGGTGGCTGATGAGCTTTAAAATAGTTGACGAAGTCCGAAAAAGCATCGATGATTTTATCGAGTCAAAACTGCCAAGAAGTTTCTTCCTCGAGGGCATTTGTCAGTCGCCCGAAAGATAGAGTAAAATCACCGAAAATAATGGAGATTATTACGAATATTAAATGTGTATTTGTCTTTTTGTGAATAAACTTTGAATTGTATGAAAAAAGGCATCGAATTAATTTGTACACTTAATATTAGGTGAATGCAAAAATTTTGATGAATCTCTCAAAAATGCGACTGCTCCAGTTTTATGTCAGCAATTACAAATATTCTTATTCTTTGTCCACAATCTTGCTTTAAGGGTGATTTTCATCAATTCCGTTAATCTTGTACATTTACGAATGTCAATAGAATGTCAATAGAAGATATTGAGAGATTCGACATTGACAGAGCGACCGCATTTCGGCATTTAAAAGAGTTTGAATACCAATGAAACCATTTTGATTTGAAATCAATTTGTGGATGCTGCATTTGTTAGCTGAACAATTTTGCAGCTTTCCTTACTTAGCTGACTAAACAAAGAGCTTGTAGAACCTATGGCAAAAGCCAATTTGTATTCTGAAAGTGTAATGCTTTCTGCTTGGTGGAATTGCGATGGAATAATTTGAAATATAGTTTGAGATATAGTTTGCAAAATTTATATGGAGTGATTTTAACTTCAAAGATCAGCCACGCTTCAGTTGGCTTTCTGGCCTTGAGGAAGACATTGTGCGTAATGTGGCGGACACCAATTAAGGAATTTCGACGCAAGAAATTATTAAGAAGCTAAACATCGATAAATCAACCGACATTTCGATATTTAAAGGAACTTGGATGTAATTTAAAACTCGATGTTTAGATGCCATATAATCTGACAGAAAAGGATAAAATGATCCGTGTCTCCATGGTCAAATCCTTACTTGTTCGACTAAAAATCGTATCGGTAATTGGCCGATCCGCATCGGTTAGTGACAAAAAACGAAAAATAGATTCATTATGGAACGGAAATAGATTCAGAGGCAGAAGAATAAACGCAATCAGCCTGTACCAAAGACTGATTTGCATCCTCGGAAGGTTATGCTGTCTATGTGGTGAGATTGTGAAAGTGTAATTTTTCATGAGTTACTCTTTGTTGGCGAAACGATCAGTTCTAATAAGTAATGCCAATAACTGGGCAATTTAAAGGCAGCAATTAAAGAAAAACGTCTGGTTTCGACCGAAGATGTTGTACGATAATGCTAGACTTCACACTTCGATGCTAACGCAGAGCAAGGGGATCTCTATTATACCCGCTATGTTCTCTTGATATTACTCCATTATATCATCGCTTGTTTTGATTGTTACAAATTACAAAATAGTTTACGGTAGAAAATTTGCTTCTTCTCATGACCTGCAAAACTATGTTTCTTCATTTTTCGGCGAAAATCTCTCTCTCTCTCTCTCTCTCTCTCTTCTCTCTCTCTCTCTCTCTCCCCCTCTCTCTCTCTCTCTCTCTCTCTCTCTCTGTTATGAGAGTTCGTTATGTTTATCTCTTATGAGAGGAGTATGAAGTCTGCCAGAACTTTTGCTCTTGATTAATGTATCTTAATTAGTGAGACCAGTCGTCTATCGAATGCCACTACCTTTCGTCGTCAATGCCAGTCGCAGAGCTACCTCTTTGTTGTCTCCCCCCGGTGTATGAAGGACGCTATTGTACACGTAACAGGATTAGCGGCGATGTGGGACAGAACGCGACGTAAAAGTGCGTCGAGTTCATAAACGGGCTCAAGCGGCGCTTTCGCGTGATGAAGCGGTTATTGAGTGTGACTGTTGCCCATCGGTGTCCGAGAAGTCCTTGAAGAAAAAAGAAGGAAGAGAAAGAATAAAAAGAGGAGAAGGAGAAGAGAAGAAAATAAAAAAAGCGCTCGCGTAAGCGACAGTGAAACTACCGACGACGTTGCCTCTGCATAATCGCTATTCGTCGTCGTCGTGGCCGCTCATTACGTCAACAATAACGCCAGTAGTAGCGCACGAGTTGTCACGAGACTGCATCGGGGTTGTCCGTGGAGTCGATTGGCTCCTTCCTGTGATTCATTCGTCTTTTCGCGATCTCTAAAGGAGCCCCGTTTTCTCTTTTCAGTCGTCGCTTAACGCCGGGACGTCTCGCAAAAAGAGAACTATTATTCAGCCGCCGTCGTCGTCGTCGTTGTCGGCGTCATCGCAAGTGGTAGTGGTGGTGGTGGTGGTGGTGGTGGCGGTGACGGTGGCAGCGGCGGCGGTGACGGCGACGGAAAGCGGTCGGTGACAAATGGAGACTGCACTGTTTCACTCGGTGCTACGCGATCGCTAAAAGGACTCCACTCGGACGTGAGAATGATCGTTTCTGTGCTTAGCGGCAGCCACTTTGCAGCCGGCGACTCTATTATTTGTCTCCATTTACGTAGCGCTCTCTGATGTCGCGCTAAACATTGTGCGATTGCGAAATCTGAAAATTAATGGCAGAGCTATTAGAGACAATGACGTATAACGAGCCTGCGCGATGACGTTAATGCGAATGTAGTTGTCTTGGAAAATATCTCAACGTTTTGTCTTCTCATCCAAGTCGGGTTATCGATGATTTCATCGCTTCAAAAGATGAATCACTTTGCACTCGCACAATCAGATGAATATTCGAAAGGTAAACGAAAGCAACAGATAACAATTGTATTTGCGGGTATTAAGAGGTTGAATTAATTCTTATTTTGTCAGTTTTTTATCTTTATTTTAAAGAA